CTGCCGGCGGCCCCTCCTCGCCCGCTGCTGCCCTGGGGGTGGGGGCACCAACCGGCCCTCCCTGCGATGGAAGGGAGGGGTCCTCCAGACTTCCCACTCCCCAGAGACTGCCAGCTTAGCTCACTCAGCACCCATTTTTCATGTGGCCTGGTACCCAGCCTCCCAGCCCTTGCTCACACTGTTCCTCCTCCTGGATGCCCTCCCCCACCCCCTGCCATCTTCATCTGTGCTCCTTCCATCAGGCTTAATTCTATTTGGATTTTAAGGCTCAGCTCAAGGGTTCCCTCCTCCAGGAAGCCTTCTCTGATGCCCCCGTCCCAACTTCTGAGGTTCCCACAGTAGTGCGCTCAGTTCCTCTGGTCTTCGCAACAGCACTCCCCAGTTTATAGCTGAACACACAAGGCACAGAATGATCTAAAATGATCCGGCCGCTCGGCCACAGAGCCAGGTGGAGCCCAGGCCTCTGGCCCACAGGAGGCCCTCTGAGGGTGCCTGTCCTGCTGTGTTCTGCCAAACTCCATCTCACTCAGCAGTCACTATTGCTGCCTCTCCCCGCCAGGCCAGTAGACAGAGGGCCTTCTCCTTCCACCACCTCCGTCTAGTTCTGCACAAGGTCACTCACATTTCATCCTTCCTCTGCTAGAACCCTGTACTGGATCCCATCTCCTTTATTGAACAAAAGCCAAAGGACCATACACCACCCTGCAGGCCCTGTGTGAGCTGGCCCATTACCTCCAACCCCACCTCTTACTTTCTCCTTGCTCCCTTCACTCCAGACCCACGGGGATTCTGGCCAGTCCGGGCACTCACCCACCTCAGGACCTTTGCACATGCTGTTCCTGCCTCGACCTCTCTCTAAAGAGCCACATATCTCACTCCCTTACCTCCTTCAGGTCTTTACATAAATGTCATCTTCTCCCTGAGGCCTTCCCAGACTACTTTATTTAAATTGCAATCCTGCCCTGGCTAATGTGGCTCAGCTGGTTGAGTGTCCTCCCATCTACCGAAAGGTCACTGGTTTGATTCCTGATCAGGGCACATGCCCAGGTTGGGGGTCCAGTCCCTCGTCGGGGTGGGTGCAGGAGGCAGCCGATTGATGTTTCTCTCTCTCGCCCTCTCCCTTCCTCTCTCTCTAAAAATCAAGAAAAACATATTTTTTTAAAAAATAAATTTTTTAAATTGCAATCCCTTCTCTCCAGCTAGTCCCCAGGCACCCAGCCTGTCCTTACCATGCTCCTTTTCTACTATATTCTCTGCACAGCCTTTTCATCTCCCTGCGCCTTTGTCTGTTTTTCTCGTGAGAATACCAGGGGAGAGATTTTTTATTTGCTGAATCCACAGTGCCTAGAACAGTGCCTGGCACATAGTAGGAGCTCAATAAATTTGTTAATTAAACACAAGAAAGTACCAAGTGGCTGTGAACTGAACTGGGCCTGTGGTGCCCAGCCCTACGTTAGGACTGTGGGGAGAGTATAAGGAATCACCCTCCATGGGCCAGCCCGACGCCGGGCCCCTTTGCAGCCCATCTTCTCAGAACAGCATCACCAAGAGATGATCCCAGGCTTCCTGCCACACAGACCAGGGTTCAAATCCCGACTGTGTGAATCTGGGCAAGTTACTTCACCTCTCTGAACTTTACTTTCATCATTTGTAAAATAAGGACAAAAATAAGACTTCGTAAAAATTAAAGGATTAGTGGACTCCCCCACCCCATAGAAAGATCACCTAACATGAGACTAGGCAAAGGCAGCTGAGCACCCGGGTTCCCACATCTTCACCCAGACTCACACGGGTCCTTAGACAAAGGACGAGGCACACAGCAAGGCGGGGAGGGGTTCATTTACCCAAATGAGAATGACCCAGTCTCCTCACCCAAGGAGCCCACAGCCATCCACAGAGACCCACCATCCTGTCACAAGGCAGGGTATGGCATGGCCAAGGAGAAGTCCCAAGGGCTGAGAGAATCAAGCAGACTTCATGGAGATGGTGTCTGAGCCAGCCCTCAAAGGACACTAAGAATTAGGCAGCCCCCACCCCTGAACTTCCCAGCCTCATTTCCTACCACTCCCCAGTAGCCAAACTCAACCCATTTTCTGCCTCTGAGCCTTTGCTCTTGAGGTTTCCTCCACCTAGTAACCCACTCACCCAAAACCTCCCAGGGGCCTGCCTGAGCTCGTTACTGTTACTGAGAACAGTCATAGGAGGATCTAGGACAGCACCTGGGCACATAGGTCCAATAAATGCTTCCTGAAGAAAGGAATCTCAAACCCCAAGCTCAAGTGGCACCTCCTCCAGTAGGCCTCCTCCAGAGACCATTGGAGGTGACTGTCCTCTCTGAAGGAGCTCTCAAGGACCTGATTGCACACTGAAGGTTTGCTCTTGATCTCCTGGACTCAGCAGCTAAGCCCCTTAAACCCAAGACCATGACCTGCTGGCCTCAGTGTCCCCACTTGAGGAGACACTCCTTTGATGATCAGACACAACTAGGGCTACGTGTGGGGGTAGCCCATCTGTGGGGCCCTTCTGCGGTCATTCCGGGGCAGGTAAGGCGATGCCAGCACAGATGGCCAGCGGCTCTGGGATGAGGCAGGAGTGAAATCTGACCCTCCCTAAGGGCTAGCAGGGACCTGAAAGGTGGTATCAGCGTAAGCTGGGGGTAGGGACAAGTGAGGGGTGGGTAGGAGGCCCCAGAGCAGGAATATAAGCAAGTAAAAGGCCACCAACTTCTATGACAAACTGTTTAATGTTCCCTAATGTGCAGCTTTTCAGTGAAAAAGGCCCGTTAAACTCGAGCGGTACATTCTGGTGCCGGAGCACCGGGGCCCCTCCCCACCTGTCCCGAGAGGAGGCAGGGCAGGGGGGAGGCGCTGTGAGAACATGGTCCTGGGTGTGCTCACGGGGAACACATGAGTGTTAAATGCCCAAGTGTCATGGGGGGGTGGGCATGACATTTACACAGGAGAGAGAACCACGGACACGTGTGTGACTAGAAGACACAGGGGCACAGGTGACAGTGGACCAGGGCAGCTACAGTGCCCACGTGTGGAGGTATACACAAGGAATGTGAGCTGGACAGGCAGGAGTCACAAAGGGTGGGCTTGGGGCTCCTGTGAGCAGAACAGGCTGAAAACCTGGGAAACCTTGAGTGCCCAAGGGGTAGGCAAAGACAGGAGCCCGCCCGTGAGAACTTGAATGTGTAAAACAGTACACAGGAGTGAGAACTCAGATGCTTCAGGTAAGCAGTGATGGAGGGACCCAGCCCCACGAGTGGGGACACGGAGACACAAGGGCACAACAGAAGGCCCAGAGCAGCAAGTATGGGGCAGGCTGGTGGGAGCTCTGCCCAGGGCCCCGGCTCCAGTAGGATCACTCAGTGAGAGCCCAGAGCTGAGCCCAAGGGCCTGGGAAGGCTCAGGACAGGGAGGACCCAGCTCTACCAGATACCCGGGTCCCCAGTGGTGGCTCCTGAAGTGCATGAGGAAGCCGCAGGCATCAGAAAGGGCCCCTCAGGCCTCGCTGCTGCTACAGCCTCTGGTGCCGCCACGCTCCACCCACACGAGGCGGGCCTGCTCCTGCAGGATCCGGCCTCGCACAACCTTGGCCAGCTCCTCAGAGTGGCCCCACGCGTGGGAGGGCACCTGCACCCAGGAGCAGGGCAGCCCCCAGAGCACCTGCTCCGTGCTGCGGCACTGCCGAAGCAGCTCCGAGTCCCGCCAGCCCGGCCGGCCCAGCAGACCCCTGCGGAGAGAAGAGTGGGCAGTGGGCAGAGTGGGCGACAGAGGGACAGACAGATATGGAGAGTTAGAGAGAGGACGAACAAATGGAGGAAGACAAAAAGACAGATGGCAAAGAAAGATGGAGAAGAGACAGACAGATAGACAGACACAGAGAGACATCCACAGAAATGGGGGGGTCAGGGTCCTGCCTCACCTGACTTCCCGGACATTCTTCTCCGTCACCTCCACGTGTATGACAATGGGGTAGACCTCATTCTGGACCAGCTCCCGCACACCCCGAGCGCCCAGCTCCAACAGGCAGTGCTTCTTCTCAGGGGTCAAAGTTACATTTCACTCCCGGCCCAAAAACACTAACCTCCCTGCCCGCCCACACCGGGCCCCACAGCACAGGCCCCTACAGGGTCCTGCTTCCCCATCCAGGGGGACCTTGGTAGTGAGGGAAAATCCAGAAGGAAAGGCAGCAGACCTGGGAAAATAAGTCCCTTTGCCCCTCTGGACCTCAGCCTCCCCATCTGTAGGATGGAGCTAACCCCACCCCCACCCCACAGTCCCAGCCAGCTCCCAGGGTAGTAGAGAGCTGGAGAACAAGGAGCCGGGCAGGGGAGATGCATCCGCCAAGTGACGGCAGCTGCCCTCGCCCACCCACTCACAGGTGAGGGAGGCCCTCAGAAGGGAAGGGAGTTGCCCAGAGCAGAGCAAGCCTGCGCTCAAAGTCTGGCTCTTGGGCTCAGAAGGGCAGCCCCTGCCCGAGTACCTACCTTCCCAACAGACTCCTGGATGGCACGAATCCTGCTGCCCAGTCCAGGGGTGGCAGGCTGGGCCTTCGGGGCTCCGGGTGCTGAGGGTGCGCACTGTTCCTCCCCAGACAGGCTTTCTGGAGAGAAAGGAGAAGCCGGAACAAAGGGCCAGTGGGCCCGGCTGCCCCCAAGTGCCACCCTGCCCTCCCCTCTCTGGGCACAAAGGCTCACCCGCTGGGCACACTTGGAAGTCCAGCCGGGAGTTGGGCAGGTCTAGCAGGTTGCGGATGAGCCGAGGTGCCAGGCACTCGGGCAAGAGCACCACGGGCCGCAGGGAGGGCACCAGTAGCGGCCGCACCAGGCTGTAGGGTTTGAGGCTACACTCTGGCTCTGTGGCAGGGGAGGGGTGCAGAAGAGATGAGGGTTCAGGCAGGGCCCAGCTCCTCTTTTCTAGGGCAGCCAGCCCCCTGAATATTCAAAATCCCATCGCCCCCCATCTTTTTTTCCCTTCTTAAGTCCTGCTGCTA